AAACTCAACAATAGAGTCTTTCAGGAAGGGCAGAGTTCAGAAATAGAAACTATGATTTAGTTCAGCAAACGTCGAACACCTTCACAGAGANCGTAGACGGCACCGAGACCGCCGTCTACGGCGCTCGAGTGCCGTACACGGCACCTAGTATGAATGCGGCCACTAGCGTATTGAATGCGTACAATACAATGGTCTATACAATATTACTTACTAAGGTCAGCCGATGAACAGTTCAGTGCTTTTATCCTCCCAGACAAGCCTAGTACTAATTCGCCGACCCCGAAGGAGTAGAAGGAAAATAAAAGGAGTTCAAACGCGTATTTGAACAAAAAAGTGGCTGTCTGCGACACTCTCATTCAAGCGTTCTTCATCTCCATGCTAAGATTCTGAACTTATAATCCGCCTTCTAGGACTCATCAAATAGTATACATTTCATTTGGCCCAGCCATTTCCATTCCCGCCTTTCGCTCGTTCCAAAGCAAAAACAACGGCATTCGCTAGCAACTAATCTTTAATTCAGTGTGCTTATTCTCCCAAACGGGTATGGTGGCTGACGACGGAATCCCTATATAAGCTGGCCTACTGCCAGGGGAAGGTTTTTTGTCCAAGCGAGAGTGTGGCCCAATGTCCTTTAGAGACTTTCCAGAAATGGGACTTGTAATGAAGGCCGCAAAATGCTCAGGTTCGAACAACAACAAAAACCTTCATTAAAACTAGGAAAACCTCACACATACCTCATCTATATTTCGCAACCATTTAGCAATATTGTCGAAGCTTTTCGCATTTGTGATATCGTAAACCAACATTATACCCATTGCTCCTCGATAGTATGATGTGGTAATCGTATGAAATCGTTCTTGCCCTGCTGTATCCCTGAAACGCATTCATTGAAGTACAGCCATAGTATCAAGAGGACCCTCCGAATCGGCAACTTCATAATCAAATGAAATTCACTGAAGTGCCAAAGAGATCTACGGTACTGGCTCACCATATTTGCAGCTTGATTTTCTTTCCTCTCAACTCGATCGTTTTGATTTTGAAATCAATCCCTGAAAATCAAAAAATAAGTAAATTTTTAGCGACCACAGAATTTGAAAACAACATGAAGAAGGCAACGATTCTTCTTGACGGAAATAGTAGTACCCCTCAAAACATAGGTCCATACACCCCTTTATAAAACGCAGCGTTTCCTGGTGCCATCAACGTATTTTTATACAGCAATCAGTAGTACACATCAAAGTCAAATGTTTAGTGAGCCTACCCAACTGCTGCCTGAGAAAAGAGTAAAATGAGCGTGCTGTATAAGAGGAGGACGGAAGGAGTTGCAACGGCTGTGCGGGAATGCGAGATGGCCTTTCTATAACTGAAGCTCCGACTCATATATCATCCCCATTGTGACCTCTTTAGCTGCTTCGCTCGCCTTTTCCCACTGTGCAAATTGTACTTAAATTTTAATACCCAACTTTTCTGCCCCGTCAGATTCACGGTTCCCTGGCTTTCCCGGTGAAAAGTGGTGTTTTGCATGAAGCGCCCTCTGATCATATCAGTAGGATCAATGGCCATTTGAAGACTGGGCAGCAAATTTGCAGCCTCATTCCTAATGGCTGCTGTTTATTTCTAGTCAAATTACATATGAGCACATGTCGAAACGTAAACCTCGTCGTACACATAGTCACACGATATCTGGCAGGCGCACAAAACCATATGGGAAAGCATCAAAAACCCATCGAATAATTGAAGAAGCAAGTTTCGTCCTTGAAATTGTTTGGTGAAAAGTCCGGTGAAAATTTATCAGTTGACCTCAACGGAAACCATCCAACGGAAACACAGTAACCTCCAGAATCAAGGTCATCTGTATAGGAGAAAGAGGAAAAACTAAAAACGCCAAGAATGCCGCGTAAACCCAACAAATGACATTTTCGGGACGTTTTATAACTCATTTGACAAGACCGCTTGATAAAAATAACCTACCGATCGTTGAGATAAATGTCGTATTGAAGGCGTCGTCGCTAAACCGATAAAGTATACACGTCTTTCCCACACCCGAATCGCCGATGAGCAATAGTTTGAACAACAAATCATACGGCCGACGAGCCATTTAGGAGCTCAGTTTTCTGTAAAATAGTAAAATTGAGCATTTTCTCTCACAAGAATGTCACACAGTACAGGAATTACAGTATCCCGAGGAAAATATGGCACGAAATGATATCACGGAATGATGAAAAGCATTAGAATAAAGTTAGAAATGGCGAGTTCCACAAATAAAAACCGAATAATTAAAGCAGCAAATGTAAAATGCTAAAAGAACCACTGCAAGGGAAGAGACATCGATTCGAGGTGGAGATTACTATTCTCTTGGTACCTCAGAATATCGACCACGAAAAGTGCAAGGCCCACCACGAGCAGGCAAAATCGATTTCGGAAAAGAGGCAACTATCCGTCCACATATTTCGGCTTTCCTTTTCTAGCTGGCTGTGCGCCATTAGTGTGAGTGCTTTTGATAGACGAATAACAAACGTGGGAAAACTATAAATATCAAAAACTCTCAACAATACGGGAACCCAACTTCACCACAAATGCGACTACACATGGGCGTTTGAAATGTCCCAAAAAGAAACTATTAAGGAACTCAGGGAAAATTAACCAACGGCGTTTTTGAGGGTAACCGTATAATTGAACGTTTAATGGTGGAGCGCAAGAAAAAAAAGGCAGCGTTCGCATATAAGAAAACGATTTCGATCATCGCCCCACTGTTTTGCACGTTAATGTTTGCTTCTGGTCATTTGTTTTCACCGCAGCGAATTGGTCAACATGCGGAAAGGAGCGCTTACAATGCAAGGATCCAGCTGCCCATCCATACTAATGTAGTCATTTCGATCATTTGTCCAACGAAAACAATCTGACCATCAAAACTGCAGTTTTTGAAAGTAAAAAGGGAAAAGTTTGCCAACAAAATTCAAACCGCTATGCGTGGAAAAACGTAGCTGAAGAAAGACTGAAGTGAACAACAGCTGCTCGTCACCGCCGACCTGTCACATCTTTTGGTGACTCCTCTGCGGGGGATTTTACAACCTAAGTCAAAACCACAAGAATACCGTCATATTCAAACAACCTGGTACATGAGTCATAGTCCACGCATGGTCCTGAGGACATTGCAAGGTGACAATAGTAATGAAGCCTGGTTCCCTAAGGAACAAAGAATAAAATCGTAAATTCAAATAAGAGAAATGCGAAGAAATGTCAAGGAACGCAAGCAGCTGGGCTCCCAGAAAACGAGGGAGAATGTTGAACAATCGTGCGCGGCGCACACTTCATACAGAAGAAAAATTGTACGAAGAATATCCGAGAAAATAAGTACAGAGAGATCATGTAAACAGAGGAAATTGAGGGGTTAATGAGAAAAGCGAAGCCAACTACCTTACTCTCAACTATCTGACTCCCAAACTGAATCCAGTCTCGAATAATGGGTACTAAAAAGTTCTCAGCGATAAGCCATGCTAAAAATGGATTCTCAAACCCGCGACTGCAACATCAGTTCCCAAACTCCCAGCACTACAGGCACATGGAAAAGTGCTGGAACGTTCTGAATCCGTTGGACTAGCTCTTTCCAACTTTTCACTGACGAGAGCTGACCTCATTATTTTCATGCGATAGCAACAAAGCCCTTGTCGAAACTCAACAATAGAGTCTTTCAGGAAGGGCAGAGTTCGGAAATAGAAACTATGACTTTGTTCTGCAACATCGAACACCTTCACAGAGTTGGTTACAGTCATTCCAAGCACTCAGATGACGAGAAATAGCCGAGCGATCTAAATATTAGCACAGAGAGCTATTTCAAAGAATCGGTCTCCCAGATTGCTCTCCCNGGGGGGGGGGGGGGGAAACAAAAACTATGGTTTTAAAAAAAGATGCCTCAAATGAACGGAAAACTCACAACTCTTCTCACTCTCATAATTTTAAGGAAAACCTACCCACTATTCGTGAATGGAACCAATCCACTTGAGAATCCGTTAACTTAATGGTATTGAACCTTCAAAGGCAAATTACTGGGCCCTAATCGGTACTTGTCCCGATTACGCAGCGATTTCTAAATGCTCGGGATGAAATACTGCTGAGCGGTCAGTCACCATACAGACAGCTACTCAAATAAGATAATTAGCGTAACGCCGCATAGTGACAGGTGGCCCGTAATTTCAAAGCCTCAATTCGAGGCCCACTCAAAACAATTTAGACCAAGGCGGTCGACGAGAAAAGAGACCAGAGCAGAATCCGATACCGACACTAACTAAATAGGGTCTTGGAGTAAGTAGTGAAAGATGGAATAGGAATTTCAAGAAAAACATGGAACAACAAAAATAGAACAAAATTCCCAAACAGAACGCCAAGAAGCAATGTTTATCTTGTTCCATATTATGAAAACCGCTGAGGGAATTGTGCCAGATGCGTTGGGCAAATGCATTCTATAGTTCACTGCAGCATTTCCAATAGCATTTCACGAGGCCAAAACACGTTCACTACAAAAACATTGGTATATTGCATTGAAATCGAGTTACCACCATTGAATTTGTGAGCCATTCTACAAGCATGATTACTGGGAACGAGAACGAGGGAACATTCTTTCAAATGCTGCCCTTACAACAAGCAATAGATGTAGTAGACCTTATACCTACAAAGGAAGGAGGAAAAGCGAGATGGTTGACGTCTAAAAAAACCTTCAAAATAACCGTGTATCCAAGTTTCACTCGAAATCGGTGAAAGCATATAAAAGTGTACCTTGAGCATAGAGGGACTTGGTAGTACCGGTAGTCAAATAGTTTGAGCTTTGGAACTTCGAGAAGTAAATAACCTTGTTTTGCCTCCCCCCCCCCTCTCTATTCGGAAGGTGTTGTGCATGCGTATGGTTCGCGTCGGTACTTTCATTCGTACTTTTATTCGCTCAGAAGATTCTGCTACCAAACAGCCGACTTCAGCAAAATGGAAAGCTTAGGTGGCCTGGGTGGGTATCGATCTGACGTGAGATTTGATCCCTGGTCATGCGTGCCAGAATGCCATTACCCCATCTCCGCCACAACCATTCATCAATTCGCTATTCCAACCTCTCGACCTCTAGTTAGAGTCAATTACCCTGTCCGTAGAAATGGATGGCATGATTGGCCTGGGTATGTTTCAGTTGGTGTGCCATCTTCCTGTTACTCGTTTCGGCCACTTTGGGCGACTGCTTCAATATCTCGATAGCCATTTATTGCCGATTACGTCACAACCGTGGGTGTTCCACTACTGACGTCTTTAGCACAGCGAACCACTCTTGGTAATTATCGCGTTTATCGAAAGTAAACAGACTGGAAAATGGAAGCGAGCCGATCAATACGCAAAAAGGGTGCTCACATCTACGGCACTAAATTGTAGATTCAAACCACCTAACAAAGGGGTACTGGCCCACAAATCTTTTACCACTCCGAGTGAATGAATCAGCATTCATACTGGAGACGTTAAAATGGCCTTTTCCTTCTCAATACAGAGAGCTTAGCATTCCGTACTTTAGGACGCTTTTAGCGCACATCCATAGCCGTCCGCATGTATTAGTAAAGTTCCGTTTTCAAAAGAGGTTTTGAACAATAGTTGTGATTCGATGCAGGGTACACGGGACGAGATCTAACGATAAAGACGTTGAGTGGATTTTGTGCTGCAGCAGGAAATGCAGTTCAGCTGACTGCAGATCTTACCCACAATATCCCTCCCATCCGACATATTAGAATCGATTCAGAGAAGCCAAGGTAATAACTACATATTTGAAAAAAATATCGACCTAAAAATGAAATCCGGAGGAGGTGAGAAAACCGATCCAACTGCCTGTCTTCTCTGAATTCGAACCAATGGTAGGAAAAAGGACACTGTTTGCAGTAATAAAACTTGCCCAAAAGCACATTTTAAAGGAATAAAAGATCAAATTTCTGCGAATAGCCCATTTCTAGTTGCGCCTACGCATTCAACTCCCATTCAGATTCGTAATGACCTTTGAATGCATAATTGGCTGTATACTGCACCAAATTTATACGAGTGATTTGAGGCCACCAGTCCGCACCCGGTCCACGCATAAGTAAACGACTTCAAACAGATGCGATTGGTACCAATTTGACAATTCCAGAAAAGATGAAAGGCTCGATTCAGACGGACCCGGACGGGTAGCGGCCCTTCAAAAACTTGATCACAGTGCGGTAATGGCGCCAGACCGCACTACACTACCTCCGCCATTGAAAATGTGTTACAGTGTGTTAAACACTGTTTAACAATGTAAATTTTACATTCATTTACAAGTACTAATAAAATAGCTGTTCATTTCCACCTCCTTCAGCATTACCTAGCCTATCTAATTTCCTACAGTACTCGACATTCTGTGTGGGGTATACTTGACGAGAAAAGGTCAACAGCCAGCGCAGCCAATTGAGCGAGGATATGCCACAGGCATTGTGTGAGCAAGTGAAAGGAAACCAGTATAATAGCAGTTCTCACTAAACCTATTTACAACAGGTAATCATAGGAGCACAGAGTGATACAGTTCCGAACAAAAATGCGCACTTCTCGTAGGAGTCATATAATTGTACACCTGATTCCACTTTTTCCCACGAACCGAAGAGAAATAAGTAAACATGTACTATGTGGAACAGTCTACGTCTTTTGTTTGGACAACTTACTGATAAGACCTGAGAATAATAACAAGAAGTGGGCCAGCTGGATGAGAGACAACAGGAACGAAATGGGCGGGTCGCTGAAGAGTGGGGAAGGAGAAGGGGCCTCGAACGGCCTAAGCACTCACAAGCGGTGGTGGCTACGTCGCAAGCAAGTCTTTAAAAGGTAATGGGTACTAACGGATGAAGTTTTTATAGCGCCCACACATCCGCTTCTATTTAAAACCGTAGAGACGCTTGAATGCACATTCAGCTATGCAGTAATTTCCGGAGTAATAGCTCCAAGGAGGTGGGGACTGGAGAAAAAGGAAGAAAAAATTAGCAGAATTTAAGCGACTATTCGGTACAGATTCTCAGAACTAAACGAAATTAATTGCTCTGACATTGTAATTTGTGAAATTACAATGTCAGA